GGGAACTCGCTCCGCCCCGGCCCGCCCAGCCCGGCCAGGCCTCCCCGCGTCGCTCCGGGTCCCTCTTGGCGCCGCCGCCCGCCTTTCCAAGAGAACAAAAACGGAAGAGAGGTGAAAATCGGGTAGCGAGGAGCGAGCGGTTTGCGGCGCGGGGCAGGCCTGGGGGGGCTCCAGCAGCCCTGCCCGTTCCTCCTGCCCGGCCCTTCCCTCCAGGTTCCCCGTCATGGCCTTATTTTTACACAACAGCGGGCCAGGCTTATGTGGGGAACAACAGAACAGCTTCCCACGAGCTCAGAAATTACTTTTATTAGAAAAAGTGTTAATATTTGGCCTAAACTCTCCCGTGTCCCAGTTTCTACATGCAGAAATTGAAGATGCATGGCATATAAAATGGATTTTGTATATCAAAGAAGGTAATGACATCTAACTTCAGATGCTGATTTGACTTTGACCAAGGCCTCCGTCAAGCCCTCAGAAACTTCTGATGCATTTCCAGAGAACTTCAGTACTAATTAACTTTTGGACCTTAACAATAATTTATAGCAAGAATGTTGGACAGGAAACTGAATTATGAACCAGTACACACCATCTTCTCTGGGTAAATTCAAATTTACATAAGACAAGTCAGTGAAAGATTAGGAAAAAGTTTAATGAGAGAGTTTATTCTTATCTGACAGTTTCCAAGACTGCCTCAGAGTTATTTTTTTGTGTTTCGAGTTTAAGAACTCCCAGCCTTTTTTTGTCTGATAATCCCTTCCTTGTAAAAGAAATATTTATATCCTGATTTGAGTGGAGGAACTGGTGCATCAGCAAAAGAAAGCTGTGTTTCTTTCTTCTGGGAAATGTATAGTGAGTTTCTGAAAACAGTAATGAAGGAGTTTTATTTAGAAATGTAGGAAGACTGCATCTTTTGGTGCATCTTTTTGATGAATAAGTGAATTTGGCTGCTGGAGGACTGAAGAATGAAAGTGCATTATCTACAATGTTTTGTGCAAGAAATTAGTAAAACATTGTTTTGAAAAGTAGAAACATGAAGCTTTGCAATTTATGAGCACAACTGACTACATAGCTAATAACAAGAAATCTGGCATTAGCCTATGGATAAAATGCATAATCTATATATATGATTGGCATGTATATAAAAATGGTATTCAGATACAAAATATGCATTTACTTTATCAAGTAAAAAGAGGAGTAAAACTGTTTCTCTACCCAGGAAACAAAGGGAAATAAATAGGTGTATGTTTCAATCAGAAAATTGCTCTGTGAAATACATTGTGAAATACAATATAACTCATAACTATTTCCATTATCTAAATGATCAGTGCTGTAATATTTATAATCAGCTAGAAGTAGTTCTGCTATTGTCAGACTTCTTGAAAAAATACAGTGGAAATGAACAATGTACATTATAATTGGAGGCTTTTCCTGTGATGGCAATGGAATATATTATTGCACACTTGAGTAACATTTGTATTTTTCTTCCTGTTAATCTTGAAAACAACTGAAAACCAAATATTTTTACTTCTTTTGTCTGCGTGGCCTGAAGCATTGCTCTGAAGCTAATGCATTTTAATCTGAGCATGCTTTCCCT